TATGCCTCCCCAGACTCCTCTGGTCTGTGACAATTTCTTACCCTTTTCTTATTTTTCATGACCTTGACAGTCTGGGAGTATTGACCCAAGTATCTTGTAGAATTATCTCCCAATCTGAATTTGTCTGATGTTTCCCTCATTCTGAGACTGAGCTTCCAAGTTTTTGGAAAAAATACCACACAGGTGAAATGGTGTGAAATGCCTTTCTCATTACATCCTCTTGGATGCCACGAGAGCCACATGACATCACCAGTGCTAACCATCACCCTGGTTAAGGTAGAGTGTTTGCCAGCTTTCACCACTGTGTTTCCCTATTCTTGGGAAGCAAGTCAGTAAGTCTAGTACACCTTTAATGGAGTTGGTGGGAATTAAGTTTCCCTTCCTAAGGGAAGTAAGTAACTACATGGAGTATTTGTAATTCTCTGAGGAAACGGTCTCTTCTCCTGTCATTAATTTATTTTAGTATATACTCATGTGTTTATACTTAGATTGTACATTAAGAAGTACATTAAGTGAGATGTACTTTGGGTACTGGGAGCCCTTTCAGGTTGGCTCCTGTGTCTCTGATATATCTATATCCTTTTCCTTTTTTGAGCACTTTTCAAAGAGTATTCCAATACACAAGATGATTCAGACTTCCCTTGTATTTTCCTAGCCCCAGCCCTAGAATCAGCCATTTCTCCAAGGAGCCTTAGTTCTTTTATTGGAGAATGATAATCAAAAACTAAGATCTGGTCCTCACATACTTCACATTCGGTTAATACCAGCCTGTGTCTAACATCGAATCTGGATTATGGCCCCATCTGAAACTGAAATTGAAGTTACTTTGACAGTCTTTCCAATTTCCCATCAGCCTGTGGCTTCACTTCCCTCCCTACCTGTCCAAGAATCCTTAGTCACTCCTTTATACTGTGGCTACCAGTATCCCCAACTACTTTGCTCATTTGACTCCCTTTGCTTTTCAATCACTTAGCCATGAGTAAACTCAGCCATCGGATTTCCTGTTTAGCCATTAGCAATATAACATATTAACATTTGACTTTATTGGGGGAGTTTTTTTTGGTTTGAGGGTTGGGTTTTGGGGCTTTTTTTGGGGGGGTGTTGTAGCCCTAAATGGACCTTTAATAGCAGTATCATCTCGTCATTCAGTAAACATTTATTGGGCCCTTGTCCTAGGTACTGAGCTAGGTTGAGGATAAAAAGTAAGGCAGGTCCTGCCACCACATACTTCATGGTCTGGTGAGTGAGAGAGAGATCATTAATTGTAGGTTTCCAAGTCCTGACCCCACTTTGTAACAGATGCTTTACTTCCTATTTCATGGAGAGAACGTAAGCATGAATTTCCTCAAACTTCCCTCTCTTCTATAAGCAGCCATATACTTGCCAATACTAATTTACCTCCTTATCTTTTCTTGGGAGAGAAAGTTTGCCTTTGCAAGGCCAGCCCTACTACCTGTGCTCTTAACCTCATTTCTTCGTTTTGATAGTATTTTCCCCTTCCATCTTCAGTTTCTCCTGGGTTCCCTTTTGTCATCCTATAAGCATGTTAAAATTCTCCCCCTGTCCCTCTGCTTCCACTTCAAGCTTCAGCTCCAGTTCTTTTCATTTCCAAAGTTAAAGTAGTTGATTAATTTTTCTCTTCTTTTAATGAGCCCCTCAGGGGCTCATTAAAAGAAGAGGGGGTCAGAGGTGCTTTGTTCAGCACCTATCATGTACAAAATTGTTTCTTACAGATATCAGCAATCTGGTTGCCAGCTCTGGCGGTCTTTCAGTCATTTGCCTCTTAGACCTCTTGCAACCATGTGCATCTTAGAGCTTTGTTCCCTTGGAGTGTAAGACTGATTCTCCTTCATAGTCACGTCTTCCTCTGTCCCTTAAGTGTTGGTGTCCCTGTCTTGTGTCCTTACCCTTACCCTACCTTTCAACCCCTTAAACAAGTTGGATCCACTCTTTAGGTATCCCAAATCTTAAGCCTTGCCTTTTCTCTCAACCTGACAGACTGCTTACAGGACATTTTTATCTGGGGTCCCACAGATAACTCCAAAGTCAACATGTAAGAAGGGGAAATGATTCTTTGTGTTCTCCATCTCACTTAACAGTAGTAATACTGTTACTTGATCATTTGTACTTGAAACCTCAGAACCATCTTTTAATTCTCACTGAAATACCCACATTTAAAAATAAAATCTTAAAAAAAAAATACCCACATTCATTTGAGTACCAATCCTGTCAATATTTCCAGTACAATGTATCTCAACTTTTTCCTTTTTTATTTCCACTGTCCTAGTACTCACCATAGCTATGGCTCAGATCTCATAATCTCCCTACTTCTAGTCTCCCTTTAACTCTAGTCATCCATCTTCCACATTGCCACCAAACCCCTCCCTAAAATCTTTTGCTTTTGGGAAAAGTCTAGTTTCCTTGATAAAGACCTGAAAACCATTCCAATCTGGTCCCAGTCTTTTCTTTCTCAGAAAAGACAGGCTGAGACTTAATATTTTCTGAGTTGAATGAGTAAACAACTCATGTTAGCCCTGTAGACAGGGGCAGTCGAAGGTAACTTATTGGGCCACTGCAGACTTGAATCAGGATCCTGATGAAGAAAGATCTTTGTGTATGTGGAATCCAGGGAGACTGTTTCAATGCTGGGGTCCTTTCTCAGGACCTTCCTAATCCCTCAGCATTCAAATTATTACCCCTTCTATTACCACCTCACTCCATAAGCCTGCCTGGGATGTTTCTGTCTTTGAGAGGAGTAGTCATCCAAGGTTTTGGGTGAGGAGGCGGCCTTCCTGCCTCATCCTTATTTTGTTCCCCTCTGGAGGAGGTAGTCTCCTGAAACACTCCAGACACAAGAAGCTATTTGACCTTCAAGTCCCCACATGTTCTCCAGCCCCCCAAACTTATCTGATCTGAGAGCAGGAAAATAGCTGTAACGAAGTCCAACATTCCATCTCACTGGCAGGGTTCTACAGACTCCCAGAAGGTCCCGGGGAGGGATGGGCAGCTGTCCATCTGCCTCTGGCCCTGGTCATTCTCCGTTTGCTCCTTCACAACTACCAGAGCTTTTACTCTCTCCTTCGTTTCTGCAGGCTCCCCAGGAGAACGGCTCCAGAATTAGAGAGTTAATACCTATACCCTCAATCCTGGTCTAAGCCAGACTATTCCCAGAAAGGGTTTCTAGGCAACCATCAGGGGGACAGAAGGCTAGGAAAATGGAACCCATCCCCTCTGCTCCCAGGTACGGAAATGATTACCTATTAATGTAATGCCTTAACCCTGAGGAAGAGTCTGGTGCAGTTAGACTCCTGTCTCCCATTACAGCACAAGCTATAAACTTCTTCCATCTCTGTGCGGACATTCACGCTGCACACCCTGGGCTCTGCCTTCACATTATACAGTCCCCGCCTCTTAATAAATACAGGAGATGGACTATGGACATCAGTCATCAGAGGCTGAAGCACCCTGAGTTTCTCCTATGTCTGCTGACCTCTGGTGGCAGTAGTTTGAACTGTTTGCTCCCTTTCTAGTTCATGGCCGGCTGGCAGGTAATGATGTGTATTTTCTCAACAATCTAAATTCTAACATTCAATTATTGTATCAGAGGGAAATATTTTTTAAAGATTTTATTTATTTATCAGAGAGATAGAGAGAACGCAAGCAGGGGAGCAGCAGGCAGAGGGATAAGCGGGCTTCCTGCCAAGGAGGGAGCCCAATGTGGGACTCCATCTGAGGACCCGAATCATGACCTGAGCTGAAAGCAGACACTTAACCAACTGAGCCACCCAGGCATCTCTGGAAATATTTTTTATTGCTGAGTTTTTTGTTTGTTTTCAGGCATCATAGACTAATGTGAAGAGTAAGGCCTGGGCTTTGGAATCAGACTTACCTAGGTTCAAATCCCAGCTCTGAGTTAAGCCTCTACCTTTGGCTCAGGTCATGATCTCAGAGTCCTGGGATCGAGCCCGCATCACATCGGGCTCTCTGCTCAGCAGGGAGCCTGTTTCCTCCTCTCTCTCTGCATGCTTCTCTGCCTACTTGTGATCTCTCTCCCTGTCAAGTAAATAAATAAAATCTTAAAAACAAAACAAAACAAATCCTAGCTCTGCTATTTCCTAGCAGATTGACCTTGGGCAAGTTTCCTAAGCTCAGCTTTCTTACCTGTACAGTGAAAATAATAATAAATAGCTCAATGGGAGAAGAAAATGAGATGATTGTAAAATGCATAGCCCTAGCTATGCCCTAGCACATAGGTACTCAATAGAAGTGTTGTGGTTTTTGGGTTTTGTTTTGTTTTGTTTTTACCTTCTCTGATTTTTCTTCAGTATTTGACTCAATATGATTTTTAAAATTTTGGTAACATAAAATTTTACCATTATACCCATTTCCAATGTGACTTTTTAAACTCTGAGAAATTTTATATAACTCTTTTCTGATTCTGAAGTTTGGAAACTGAGGTCAACTTTAGTCTGTGAAGCCTCTCTTTGCCCAGATTGCTGCACATCTGAGCCCTGAAAAGAAGGGATCTTGGGCACAGTTGAATCCCTCAGCTGACCTCACTCTGGTTTCTAGCCTAGAAGGGCTGACAGGATCCAGCACTTTCTTCCAGGGTCAGCAAAGGGCAGAGGTCTGAAGTTAGGCATCATAGGGTTCTCAGCTGGGCCTCTAAGACCCCCTCCTCCCACTTTGCAGAGAAAGGAGGCGGCTGCAGAGAAGAGGATATGAGCTCCGTTCTCTGCTCCTCCCTCTCGTTGCTTTTCCCCACACCCATCTTCTCCCCCACAGCAGCCGTCTCCCCCACAGAGACTGGGAAGAGGGAGGAGGGCAGGGTTGGGCACTGAGGGATCGGAAGCCCCACAGCGCCCTATATCTGAAGGAAGCTCTGGCCAGGGCAGCTGTGCTGGTTCATGCTCACCACCTCATGCTGCTTGTCCCCTCCAGCATGATGCTGGGGACTCTGGGCCTTTGCGTACTATTTCCCACAGCTGTTCGAGGTAAGTGTCTACGGGGGGGGGCTTTTCACTCAACCACTGAGGGAAAGGGGGACTTGAAGCAGCAGCCACCCCTCTGGAAGAGTAAGTGGGGTGGGTGAGTGAGGGCAAAAAGTAGATCCATGTGTCCCCATGGTGAGGTCAGGTTCCAGACCTCTGCTGACCCTGTTTCCTCTTACAGCATTACCATGCTGGTCCTGGTATATGAAACATGTTTTGTGTCTCCTTTTGGCTGCTGCTTTTGCCCCTGCATTCACTCCCATCTTGAACCTTCCCCTCTCCCCACCCTGGGCCACAGCACCCCCAAGCAGGCGGACCTGTGTGTTCTTTGAGGCCCCTGGAGTGCGGGGAAGCACAAAGACACTGGGGAAGCTGCTAGATGCAGGACCAGGGCCTCCCAGGGTTATCCGCTGCCTCTACAGCCGCTGCTGTTTTGGGATCTGGAACCTGACCCAAGACCAGGCACAGGTGGAGATGCAAGGTGAATGGCAAAGTATACAGCAGGTGGAAGCTAGGGTGGGAGTCAGGTACATCCTGGGGAGGGGGGTGACGGCAGCGGGAGAGGAGGAGAAATGGAATATGCAGAGGGAAAGAAAAGCCCGAATGAGATGGAGGGGATGCCTCTGATAGAGAAGGGGGTTATCCTCTGTTCCCAGACTCTATTATGCTCGCTCGCCCTCTCTCTCTCTCCCTCTCTCTCCTCTTCTAATCCCACCCCAATCAGGATGCCGAGACAGTGATGAGCCAGACTGTGAGTCCCCGCACTGTGACCTGAGCCCCCGAGCCCACCCCAGCCCGAGGTCCACTCTCTTCACCTGCTCGTGTGGCACTGACTTCTGCAATGCCAATTACAGTCATCTGCCTCCTCCAGGGAGCCCTGGGACTCCTGGCTCCCACGGTCCCCCCACCGTCCCAGGTAGACATGCAGGGTTCTGGGGCCTGTTAGGGGCTGGGGCCCAGGTTAGGGCAAGAGGTAGAACCAGGGCCAGTTCTCACCCTACCCCCATCCCAAGTTTTCTTCCTCCTGGCCTTGAGAAGTTGGTTGCCCTGGTGACTGGGAGATAAGGGGCTTGTGACCAAGGTGGGGGTGGGTCCAGAAGCAAGTTCTCTAAGGAGGGGAAAGGAGTGGAGTGGATTTGGGGCAGGGCTCATCCAGGCTGCATTCCTGCTTTAATATCTAGGCGAGTCCATCTGGATGGCGCTGGTACTGCTGGGACTATTCCTGTTCCTCCTGCTGGGCAGCAGCATCCTGGGTACTAATCTACTTCATCCATCCCTTGTCACCCCCAGTCACTGCCCCAAAGCTCTCGGCCCTTTCCAGCTTCCCCTGATCCCACGGTTCTAAGATCTCTACAGCCTGAACCCATTACCTCCCACAAAGCCCCTTTCTCAGTCTCCATGCCTGTGTACCCTGACCCAAGGGCTCTTTTCTGCCCCAGCCCTGCTACAGCGAAAGTCCTGCAGAGTGCAGGGTGGGTCAACGCCAGAGCCAGAGCCAGAGCCAGAGCCAGAGCTGGAATCAGGCAGGGACTGGAGTGCTGAGCTGCCCGAGCTGCCCGAGCTGTGTTTCTCTCAGGTGCCCAGGGAGTGGGGGGGCAGGTCCTCTGGTCCCTCCTGGAGGGTGTGCTGGGGAGGAAGCCTGGTCCTGATGCGAGCTGAGGCTCGCACCCAGCACCGTGTTTCCACCAGGTCATCTGGGAAGGAGGTCATACAGTGGTGTGGGCTGGACAGCTGCAAGGCAAACTGGTAGCCATCAAGGCCTTTTCCCGGAGGGCTGTGGCCCAGTTCCAAGCCGAGAGAGCGTTGTACGAGCTGCCAGGCCTACAGCACGACCACGTTGTCCGCTTTATCACCGCCAGCAGAGGGGGCCCTGGGCCCCTGCCCTGTGGGCCCCTGCTGGTACTGGAATTGCACCCGAAGGTGAGGACGGAGAGGTGTCTGTGTGTCTGTGCCTGTGTGTGTATGGGGGTGCCGGGCTGGGAGACAGCAGGGGCCTGCTTGCGTTTATTCTTCTGCTCCAGATTTCCTCTTCTCTAGAACATGAAAAATGATTTTTTTTGTTTTCTTGTTTTTTTTTTATTAGTCAAGAAATACTTGCTAATATTTTTTACTCATGAGACATAGAAAAGGAGAAATCAAAACCACTCATATTCCCAACCTTAAGGAAAACCAATGTTAAGAAATATCTCAAGGCACAGCCCTCCAAAGCCATTTACACACTCGTCCAACGAGTGCTTATGAATCTTCTGAACCGTACGCCAAACCTCCTGGGCTAAGACAAAGAGCCTCGTCCCTGCCTTTGTAGATTTGAGACAGTAGTGGGGGAGACAGTAGCGAATCAGGTAAACACAAAAATAAGCGTCAAATGTCAAGTGTGCTAAGTGCTGAGAGAGGAGGTACTGTGAGAGAAGAACAAGGGGATGTACCTCGAGGGGACGATCATGAACAGGAAGGATGAGGAGGACAAGGTAGGCAGGGACCAGGCCGCCCCTGTCCGTATGGACCGTCTAAGGACTAAGGACTTTATTAGCCCCTGCAGTCCTCTCCCTCTGAAATCCTGAATCCAGAGAAGTCCCCTTTTTGACCATGTGCCTTAATGCCTAGCTCAACAACGTCTGCTTTCCTAGGTTGGTTGGTTGGTTGATTGGTTGGTTGGTTGAACCTCCCTGGGACACTGAAGTCATGTTTGTGGAATGAGGGACACAAATGCTCCTTCCCTTCCTGGTTTCCCACTTGCTCCCCTCCTTTCCCTCTCCTTCCCAGAGGCTCTTAGAGGAGGGGGCGCCTGACACCGCAGGCCAAGTGGTTCCCGGGGAATACCACTCCTGAGTTCGCCCTGCCTCTTCCGCTTCTGTTGGTGTCTCAGGTCCCTAGGCCGGATAAGGTGGTGACTCGTGAGTGACCCTAGAGTCAGACTGCTGGGGTTCCAGCTCTACTTGCTTTTCACCAAGTGACTTCCAGCAGGTGTACTTCATTTTCTTTCAAGCTCCTCGTCTATCAGAGGAGTGACAGGCCCCTGTCTCCTAGGGTTGTGAGGACTGCAGGAGGCCTGGCACAGTAAGCACTCAGACACTTAACTAGGGCTACTGTTTTCCCGTTGGTCTGACAGAGGCACGTTCTCATTCCTCCCTGCCTCTTGTCTCGGCCTGGATGGATCAGCATGTCCATCTGCTGGGAGAGGCAGGGGGAGGTCTGTAGACTGATCTCTGCTGCCTGGGGCAGATCGGCCACCTCCAGCTTATGTGTCCTCCTTTTCTCTCTGCTGTTCCCCAGGGCTCCCTGTGCCACTACTTGACCCAGCACACCAGTGACTGGGGAAGTTCCGTGCGGATGGCACTGTCTCTGGCGCGGGGCCTGGCATTCCTCCATGAGGAGCGCTGGCAGGATGGTGGGTGAGCCGGAAGGAGGAAGCCATGGAATCAGGAGCCACCCGCTGTGCTTCTGATTCTCCCTTAGCTTGGAGGGGAAGAAGAGGGTCCAAAGAGAAAGGAAGAAGACCCATGCCCCTTCAACCTTGGCTTCTCTCACAGGCCAATATAAACCAGGGATCGCCCACCGAGATCTGAGCAGCCAGAATGTGCTCATTCGGGAAGATGGGTCATGTGTCATTGGAGACCTAGGCCTCGCCTTGGTGCTCCCTGGCCTCGCCCAGCCTCCCACCTGGGCCCCTACTCAACCCCGAGGCCCTGCTGCCATCATGGAGGTGAGTACTCTGGATGACGGTGAGGCCCGGGATGACGGCAGTGTTGCTGATGAAGGCGCGCTCTTTGCTGGGGCAATGGAACAGCAGTACTTCTGAGGTTTAGGACGTTGCTGACTCTAGCTGGGGGGATACTGCATGGACCAGTGTTGTGGCAAGGCTTGCCAGGGAGATGACTCTTGGCCCTCCATGTCTTTCTCTCCAGGCTGGCACCCAGAGGTACATGGCACCAGAGCTCTTGGACAAGACTCTGGACCTACAGGACTGGGGCACGGCCCTCCGACAAGCCGATGTGTACTCTCTGGCTCTGCTCCTCTGGGAGATCCTGAGCCGCTGCCCAGATCTGTGGCCGGGTAAGAATGGGTATGACCGTGCCCCCCTTTCCCCCCATTACTAACCCACCCATTCTAGATGCACCTACCTCCTAATGCAGGAAGTTCTGCCCTTCTCCCTCTTGGCCTTTCCATGAGGAGGCACCCCAGGACTAGTTGACATCTAGCCCTATGTGCCTTTCCCCAGACAGCAGACCACCACCCTTCCAGATGGCCTATGAGGCAGAACTGGGTAGCACTCCTAGCACCTGTGAGCTGTGGACCTTGGCGGTAGAGGAGAGAAGGCGGCCCTGCATCCCACCCACTTGGCACGGCTTCACCACAGTAAGAACCCACCTGCTAGTGGGCTGGGGACCTGGAGAGTGTAGACCAGCCCATCTGCTCCTCTCTCCTCTCATCTATCCCCACTCCTGTCTCCTGTTCAGCTGGAGCTGGGCAGATCTGCTCTACACCTTGGCTCATCCCCTTCCGCCATAAGTCTCACAGCCCATTCCTGAAACAGACACCTTCCTCCTGCTCACACTTGCCTGGTCTGTCTCTCTTCCTCTCCACCATCGGTTAGCCCTATTTCTCAGTCCCCTCCTCCAGGAAGGCCTCCTTAGCTTTGCTTCTGCCTGAGCTCTGCTCCCAAGATGGCTCCTCTCCTGGTACAGTGGAGCCCAACGTTCAATCCAGTAATTCCTTGCCCTGTCCCACACATTCGTGTTTCCGCCATGACCCACTAAAAGCCAGTCCTGGGTGTAAAGGGTTAAAAAGGTGGCCAAACAGTGGTATTTCAGGGTCTGTATAATTAGTTTCCTAGCAGGAAGCCCCTTTCCCTGCTACCTGATCTGTAATTTCCATGGCACAAGTATCTGTGGGGTTAACCATTGTTTGCCTAAGACCCTGGTCGCCTGAAAGGAAGAGGAGTAACTTCCCATCCACATGTGAAGTCATTAACCTGAATTAGCTCCTCAGAGGAAAAGGTGGACCCTCTGAGGGCCACTGAGGATCCCAGGATTAAGCCTGCTTCCTGTTCTTCCCAGGACCCTGGCGGCCTGAGAGAGCTGCTGGAGGACTGTTGGGATGCGGACCCAGAAGCAAGGCTGACGGCAGCATGTGTTCAGCAGCGTCTGGCCGCCCTGGCCCATCCTCAGGAGGCCTGCCCCTTCCCAGAGAGCTGTGCCCAAGGCAGCCCACCTCTCTGTCCAGAAGCCTGCCTCTCAGGCCCTCCCCATGGCCATCCCCCCTTGTAGGCCTCAGTGGAACGTCTGCTACTTTAGCCTCCAGCAAGGCCTTTGTTCCGGGGGTCCTCCCACATTGTGTCTCACCTGTAAATGTGCAACTTATGTATAATCTCTGTACGTGCAAACATAAATCTGGTGCTATGATGCCTGACTGCTGTGTCTCACCATGGCCTTTCCAACCTGCCAGTTGCCTAGATCCTTCTGTGGGCGTCCAGTATAGGGCAGTCCCAATCGGGGCCTGAGGGGTGGGTGTGCATAGGAAAGAGATAAAGTCAGCTTTATCTCCCCGTCCTTGGGCCTTCCCCATCTTCTGCAGATCCTGGGCTCCTCCTGTCTCTCTTCTTTTCCTTCACTATCATAAGCCTACTTTTGGTGGGATCACGTGGCGGTCACTGGGGAAAGATGACCTCGCTGGTCTGTAGCCGCCCAGAGACGCCCAACTCCCCTTGCTGGGGGCCTGCCCGGGGTCCTGAGGCTTGAGCATGAAGGCCTCACAGAGACAGGAAACTTGGCTGTTCAGTGAGCAGTTTTCCAGGAGAGGCGGGGTCAGTAGGTGGAGTGTTGCATGTTGAGGGACAAAACTGCAGGAACCTGGGGAGCAGAAGCATAGGGTGTGTGGAGGAGAGAGAGCAGAGGTTCTGTGGAAAACTGTAGGCAAGGCCTTGTGAACCCTACTGAGAAGTTCTTCCTTCATGTTTTTTTTGTGTCTTCTCTATTGGCTTTTCTTTCCCACCCAGGACCCTTTCATACGCCCCACAGAGGCATTTCATGCTGGGTGCCTGGTTTATAGCCCTCATTCAGTTTCTTTTCTTTTTTTTTTTTTCTTTTTCTAAAGAGTTTTTTGTTTGTTTGTTATTAATTTAAGTAATCTCTGTACCCAAAATGGGACTTGAACTCCTGACCTCAAGATCGAGTTGTAGGCTCCTCTGACTGAGCTAGCCAGCTGTGCCCCCGCCACCCCGCCTACCACCACAGTTTAATTTCTAACAGTGCTCTTGGGGTAGGTTACATTCTCTTTCTAGGTGTCCGGTTTCTCATTTGCTAAGTCAGGGGGTTCAGGCCTTCTGGTCTAACTCCAGTAGAGCAATGGGAAGGCTTTGATTCCCCACAATCCTGGTCAGTGACCAACGAGCCCTGTGTCTTTGAGTAAGTTAATTAACCCTAGGAATTTGTTTTATCATGTATAAAATATGGGTAAAAACACCTACCCTGCTTGCAAAGTTGATTCGGGGTAAACAAGAAATGGTGACAGGTCTTGTGCAGCCCCTGGCCTCAGTGGACACTTCTGTAAATGGTAGCAGTTGTGTCTGAACATTGAGATGATCTCTCACCCCTTTCCATGTTAGTTGTTCCAGCATTAACCTCTGCAAAGCCTGTCGGCTCTCAAGCCCTGAGGCTTCACTGTTCTTCAGCACTCTAATCCTCAATAAGACATCATCACAGGAACAGGCAGCCACCACCTGAGAAACTAAGCACATCGAAATCCAAGCTCCTGCCTCCCCCTCACCATCAGGGCTGCCTTCCCCTTTTCCCTGGCTCTCAAGTGCACCAAGTCTCTCTCTCTCTCTTTTCTGGCAGTTTCTACACCCAACATGGGGCTCAAAATCACGACCCTGAGATCAAGGGCTGCGTGCTCTTCTGACTGAGCCAGCCAGACACCCTGCACTAAGTTTCTCTTGGTCCTAGAGGAGCCCAACAAGGAAGGTGTTCTGTCTGCTCTGTGACCCCACCTCATCCCACCCACCCATATCCAGTCGGTTCTCCAGTCCCACTGAGGTTGCATGGGTGGGGACTGCTCCTCTTCCTAGGCTGGCAGACCCCAACTATTATAACTGCCTCTTGGCCACCTATTTCCCTCCCAGTCTTGGTTAAACACCAGGCTCTGAATATTCTTTATTATTTTTTAAAGATTTTATTTATTTATTTATTTGAGAGAGAGAGAGCGTGAGAGAGAGATAGATCATGAGAAGGGGGCATAAGGGGAGTGAGAAGCAGACTCCCCACGGAGCAGAGAGCCAGCCCAATGTGGGGCTCAATCCCAGGACCCTGGGATCATGACCTGAGCCGAAGGCAGATACTTAATGACTGAGCCACCCAGGTGCCCCAAATGATTTTTTTTTAAAGATTTATTTATTTATTTATTTGACACAGAGAGAGAGAGAGAGAGAGAGAGAGAGATCACAAGTAGGCAGAGAGGCAGGCAGAGAGAGGGGGAAGCAGGCTCCCTGCTGAGCAGAAAGCCTGATGCGGGACTTGATCCCAGGACCCTGAGATTCTGACCTGAGCCGAAGGTAGAGGCTTAACCCACTGAGTCACCCAGGTGCCCCCCGAATGATTTGTTTAAAACGAAAATTAGATCACGTCATTCCCATGCTCAATACCTTTCAGAGACTTCCATTCACACTTAGAATAAAATCTGAACGCTTTCCCATGGTTTACAAGGATCTAGAAATACTTGTACCACACTCCTACACTTACCTTGATTCTTTTTTCTCCATAGCATATACACATTGCTGTCTGACACTTTATTGTATATTTATATTTTGCCTCTTCCAATATTACCTCAGAAAGGCAAGGATCTTTTTCTATTGTTTTCACTTAATCCCCAGTGCTTAGAATAGTACCTAGCTGGCTTGAGAAATACTTGCTAAATGAATGAATGACAGAAGTATGGTAAATAATTACTGACTTAATGAATGAGCTGAAATGAACTTTAAAAACATTGTTTAATGCTTTAAAAATAATCTGAGTTTAGGGGCGCCTGAGTGGCTCAGTCATTAACCATCTGCCTTCGGCTCAGGTCATGATCTCTGAGTCCTATGATGGAGCCCCACGGCAGGCTCCCGGCTCAGCGGAGAGTCTGCTTCTCAATCTCCCTCTGCCTTAAAAAAAGGGCACCGGTTGACTCAATGGGTTAAAGCTTACTCTGCCTTCGGCTCAGGTCATGCTCCCAGGATCCTGGAATCGAGCCCCGCATCAGGCTCTCTGCTCAGTGGGGAGACTGCTTCCCCCGCCCAACCGCCTCCCTCTCTGCCTACTTGTGATCTCTGTCTGTCAAATAAATAAATAAAATCTTAAAAGGAATAATCTGATTTTAAATCTGAGGAAGAATTTCCCAACTAGCAGGTAGGTGAAGATATACATGGAGGACATTGGTGCCCTGTGAGGGTCCTGCAGAGAGGTTAAAATCATACTAGTCTGATAGTAATCATTCATCATATTAATGATAATCATGATATACTAGCACCTAATATGTGCTTATTATGTGACAGATACATGTTTTTCTAATTTCAACCACCCTACAAGGTAGGTACCATTGCCACTATTTTACAGATGAGAGAACTGATTGATGGTCTAAGGGGTTTAACTAATTCAAGGTCGCACAATAAGTGGCAAAGCCAGAATTTGGCTCTCGAAGCTGTCTGACTGATTGCACAACCACCATGTTCTATTCCTCTTTGTTCATTCATTCGTTATTCATTCATGTAGTTATTCATTTAATAGCTTTTTCATTAATACCCTCCTATGTACCAGGCACCATGTGAAGCATTAAGTGTTAATGAACACAGTCCCTGCTCTCAAGGAGTCTAATGTAGAAAGCTGATACTAATCAAGTAATTATTGATTGATTCATGTATGATTATAAACTGAGATGGATATGGTAAAGGAAAGGCAAGATTCTATCACATGCTACAACATACAAATCTCACCTAACTAGGGTGTCAAAAAGGTTTCCTGAAGAAGTAATTCTGACGGGGTTGGGGGTTTGGGTGAGCCTGGTGGTGGGTATTAAGGAGGGCACATATTACATGGGGCACTGGGTGTGGTGCATAAACAATTAATTCTGGAACACTGAAAAGAAATAAAATTTTTTAAAAAGGAAGAAGAAAGAACAGAAAATATTCAGTTAAGTGAGAAAAAATAACAAATAAAAGAACATTTCATTTATACAGTAGAATTTAAAAAAAAAAGAAGTAATTCTGGAGCTGAGAGTTGAATGATCAGGAGTTAATTAGGCTAAGTGGAGAGAGATGGGGAACATTCCAGGCTGAAGGGAGTAAGGGCAAAGGCCCTCCTGCAAAAGGAACCAAGATCTGAAGGGATGAAAAAAGCTTAAGGGTTGGAAGGCAGAAAGCCAGGAGTGAATAGTATGAGAAGAGACCAGAAAAGTAGTAGGGCAAGACCACTGCAGGCTACAGTGACAAGATTTTGAGTTTCTTTACTGAATGCCTTTAGGGAAATAGACACTCATACACTGGTGCTGACGATGTAAATAAATATAACCTCTATAGAGAGTAATTTATCAATAACTACAAAAAGTAAAAATGTTAAAGACATATACACATGGTTATTTACTACAACATTGTTTTTAATAGTGCAAGATTGAAAACGATGCAAATATCCACTGACTGGTCGAATTGATTATGGTACATCATACAAAAGAATAAAATGAAGTTGTGAAAAAGACAAAACATATGATATGAAAATATCTCCAAGATGTACTAAGTGGGGGGAAAGCTTCAAATTAAACTCTACATAACTAGTTTTTATATTCTAAATGGGGGATATACATTTACATCAGTATTTGCTTGATTGTAATGAAGAAACTGTGGAAACATATATAAGAAACTACAGGGGTTGTGCGGATAGTGGGAGGCTATTGGTAGGTAGCTGAAGGTAGATGTAAAAACAAGAGTGGGAGGGAGACTTTTCACTTTATACCTCTTTATCCTTCCACATTTTGCAATCAAGTGAACATATTACCTTGTCAACAAAAATGAATACATATGTGTAAAAATAATTGTGATATTTGTCTTAAAGATAATGCAAAGCCATTAAAGACACCATCTCACACCTACTAGGATGGCTGTAATGATAAAGACAGACAGTAACAAGTGTTGGGCCAGATGTGGAGAAACTGGAACCTTCATACATTGCTAGTGGGAATGTAAAATGATGTGGCTATTTTGGAAAATAGTCTGGCAGTTCCTGAAAAAGTGAAACACAGAGTTACCGTATGACCCAGGGATTCCTCTGGAATTCAGAGCACTGTGCAACCATCACCATTGTGTTGGTATAACCAATAGGATTGAAAACATATGCTCACACAAAAATTTGTACATGAAAAAAAAAATCTATTGATAAAAAAATTTGTACATGAATTGTCATAGCAGCAATATTTATAATAGGCAAAAAGTAAAAACAATTAAAATGTCCATCATCCAATGAATGGATACAACAAGATATGGCATATCCATTCAGCGGAATGTTATTTAGTACTTCCTTCATAAAAAGGAATGAAGCAGCGCGCCTGGGTGGCTCAGTGGGTTAAAGCCTCTGCCTTCGGCTCAGGTCATGATCCCAAGGTCCTGTGATCGAGCCCCACATTGGGCTCTCTGCTCAGCAGGGAGCCTGTTTCCACCTCTTTCTCTCTCTGCCTGCCTCTATGCCTACTTGTAATCTCTGCTTGTCAAATAAATAAATAAAATAAAGGAATGAAGCACTCTTTCATAGGACAACATAGATGAACCTAGAAAGGATTATGCTAAGGGAAAGAAGGCAGTCGCAAAAGGCCACATATTGTACAATTTTCCATTTATATGAAATGTCAAGAATAGACAAATTTACAGACAGAATGTTAATTAATGCTTACTTAGAGCTTGAGGGGGTGGGTAGAGGAGAAAAAGGGAGGGGAATGAGGATTGCCCACTTGATGACTAATGGGCATGGCATTTTTTTTAGGGGGCACAAAAATATTCTAAAATTAGATAATGGTGATGGTTGCACAGTGCTCTGAATATGTTGAAAACCATTGAAATGTGCACTTTAAATGGGTGGAATGTATGATATATGAATAATATCTCAGTAAGACTGCTTTAAAAAAGAACAATAGTTTGGGGCGCCTGGGTGGCTCAGTGGGTTAAAGCCTCTGTCTTCAGCTCAGGTCATGATCTCAGGGTCCTGGGATTGAGCCCTACATCGGGCTCTCTGATCAGCCGGGAGCCTGCTTCCCTGTCTCTCTCTCTGCCTGCCTCTCTGCCTACTTGTGATCTCTGTCTGTCAAATAGATAAATCTTTACATAAAAAAAAAAGAGCAATAGTTTGAAATACTTAACTTCTAAAAGGCATTATGCCTATACAGACACATCAATAATTTATTTCAAACCCAATCTTTCTGAAAAGAAATAGTGTAGATATAAATTGCCCTAGAGCTTAAGAAAACATGGGAAATAATTTATCTCAAATATTTAGCGCAAAGCTGATATGAAAGTACATCAAAATGTACTATGGTTATATAAGATATTACCATTGGGGGAAGCTTGGTAAAAGGTAAATCATGGGAATTCTTGTTTCTTTGCAAATTCTCGTGAGTCTAAAAATTATTTCAAAATAAAAAATATTTTTAAAATCTGTCAAAGTCCTTAATTCAAGATGATAAACTCACTATAAAATTTATCTTCTTCGTATTTTTTTGTATTCCACAATTTTGGGATATATTTTCATTATGGGTTAGTTCAAAGTATTTAATTTCCATCATCGTTTATTCTTTGATCCAGAGTTATCTGGAAGCCTTTTTGTTTTCTTAGATTTCCAGATAGATATTTGTATTTATATTTTACATTGTGATCAGAGAATATGGTATGTATTGTACAATTCTTTGAAATTTGAATTATAGGGGCGCCTGGGTGGCCCAGTATGTTAAGCCTCTCTGCCTTCTCCCCAGGTCATGATCTCCCCTGCAGGCTCTCTGCTTAGCAGGGAGCCTGCTTCATCCTCTCTCTCTGCCTACTTGTGATCTCTCTGTGTCAAATAAATAAAATCTTTTAAAAAAAAGAAATTTGAAGTTTATTGGTTGAGATAAATTTTTTAAATAAATGTCTTAAGTATGCTTAGGAAGAATGAGTATTTTTAAGTTTTGGGTGCACGGTTTTCTATGTTTATTCAATCAAGCCTGTTATTGTGATTTTTGGAGTCAAGAGGTGATGACAAGTTGGGAGCAGAAAAGGTGGAGAGAAGTGGAAGGAATTCAGATTTATTTGGGAGACAATACAAACTCTTTATGGTGTTGGAAGGGTACACGGGAAAGGTGAAGGAGAGCGCCATCAAGGATGACCTCCTTGGTTTCTGCCGTATGCAATTCGACCGATGGCGGAGGTATGCAACTGGGATAGGGAATCCTACGAGGGATTACGGAATATCTCTATTTCCCCCAAGAATGTTTCTTTACTTTCCACGGGGGGGGTAGGGGGAAGGTGGTGAAATTGAGGTGTGGGGTTGGGACTCAGCAGCTCTCCGCCCTCTCTTAAACGCTCTGAATATATCCATGTTGCAATACTAACCACGGTGAGTATTTCACTTCACAAGGTATCGCACCTAACAAGCGAGGAGCAGCTCAGAAAGCACAAGCTGAGCTTCCTTGTCCTCCCAAAGGATTTTGCCCAGAAACTGGCTCCGCACTCTCCTAGATCGCTCTTGGCCCCGTCCCCAGGGATTTCCGGCCCGCCCACTCCGCTGCACCCTCCTAGTCCCCCGCAAAGCCCCGCTTCGCTCCTATTGCAATCGTTGTTCTTCGGCCTAGCTGGGACTAGAGTGATTGACGAAGATATTCTCCAATCACAATGCCGAAAGACCAAGCGATGGCCAACTAGGCGGTAGCAGAGGCGGGTGTTGAAGCCTAGTTGAAGGGGGGGGGGTGACCAGGAAGTGAGAACAGAGGATGAGTCAAGCCCAGGCTGTGGTGTAAAGGAGACGGGGCATTTGGTTTCCCCAATTTCCTCCTTTCCTCGACCCTAGGTCAGGGGTCCGTTCGCAACTAGGACGCGGGATCTCCATTTGGCGTTTTGAAGGTGGAAGGAGGTGTGTCTACATAAGGAAGCGGTTGAGAATCTGTCCAGAACGCCTTCTCCATTTCGCCGAGAGGCGGGTCTTCTAGCCTGAGGTGAGGGTCCTGTCTCCCTCCCCCACTCCCGGGGTGCGGGCTGTGAAATTGTTTAAGATCCTTCCGTAGCTTGCGGGTGGTGAAAGTCTTCCGGACTCAGTCACGGAAAGGGAGGTGAGGGATGAGGACAGTGAGATTCGCGAACTCTGCCCTTCTCCAGAGGAGTTAGAGACCTCCAGCTGCGGCCAGAAGTAGTATAACGTGGAGGGGCCCTGGGAGCTAGATCCCGGTAGTTAGGAAGGTGGGGGGGGGGGCGCGAAATAGGTACTGAGGGCAAAGGAATGGGTGGGAAAAAACATTTATGTGGAGGTCGTGGTAGTTCTCCGAGTCTCTCCGAGAGGCGCTGGTTTGGGGCTCGGTTTTTAAATTCCCTGCCCACCTGTGTGCCATCAGCTTTTTGCCTTCCTTTCTCCACAGGCTGGAGGAAACACCTGGAGATGTGGAATCCCAATGCCGGTAGGTGTTTGGGGGATCTCTTTTCCCACCGCAACCCCTTTTCAGTTGAGCCCCACAATAGGAAGTTTCCGTTTTTCCTCCCCCTCTCTCACCCGCTGAAGCAGTCAAACCACAGCTGACCAATGCTGTCCTCTTTCCTTAGATTTCACTGCCTCCCGTTCTCCCCAGCCCTGCCAGAGCCCTTACCTTTCCTCTGCTCTGCAGGTTTGACTCCCCTCCGCCTCATTTTCCTTCCTCACCTTTGCATTTCCCTTTAAGTATTGAGTGAGAAGCCGAATCCCCTTCTTTTTTTGTCCTTGTTTGTTGTCAGAGGCTCTGAGCTGTTCTAATATCAAGTTATTCTTTGCTTCTTCACCAGGGCAGCCAGGACCAAATCCATATCCTCCTAACGTGGGGTACCCTGAAGGTTCCAATCCTGCCCATCCACCACCACCTGTCAATCCTGCCTATCCTCCAGGCCCCTTTCCAACTCCCCCAGGAGTTCCTCAGGGGAATCCAGCTTTCCCTCCAGGTGGGCCCCTTAATCCTGTGCTTCAGCCAGGGTATCCAGGATGCCAACCCCTAGGTCCCTACCCACCTCCCTACCCGCCACCTGCTCCTGGCTTGCCTCTTGTGAATCCCGTGGCACCCGGCATGGTGGGACCAGGAATGGTGATGGACAAGAAGATGCGGAAGAAAATGAAGAAAGCTCATAAAAAGATGCACAAACACCACAAGCATGGCAAGGTTAGTGCCCTCCAGAGCCTGGCTAGGAAGAGGTGCCCCTACAGAGGGACTAGGCTAGCGGGAGTGGGCAAGGGGGATTGGCAGTCTGAGGACATAGAGCAGCCATTGTGTTGCTCTGGTAGATGGTTCTTCTTGGTAAAGATTCTACTGGTAAGAATCTGATAACCTTGAAATATTAGGCTAATTGGGCCTTCTATCAAGGAGGGGCTATGCTGAGCATTGGAATAGATAACAGAATCAAAAGCCTTTCCTGTCTTACTCTCTCCCCAAACTTTTGCTCCACTCCCATCCCCAGATGCTTGTTTTAGCAAGTTAGACACACCCACCTTCAGTGTTCTCAAGGTTTTGTGTTAATTACAGGACCTTTGTTTCCTACCACCCAGTGACATTCTTAGTGTCAACCCAAGGCAAGGCGAGTGTCTTCATTCTACAAGAGTGTTAATTAACAAGTAGCTCTCTGGACAACTCTGAAAGGACAGAACCAGCCTGGATCTTGAGGATGCCTTGATTTACATTTTACTGCCTAGTGTTTATTTGCTTTAGGGCTTTGGGCATTACTTCCTGGTTCTGGATCTTTGGTAGAAGTTCGAGGAGAAGGAAAGATGAGGTTGAATGGGGAGTGAAATTACCCTGGAGAGACTAAAAAATGTTTTTGTTGACTGTTGATGGGAGTGTGCATGTAAAGAACCTTGGCTAGTAGTCTCCCCACTTTTTCTCCCACCTTCTTCACTGTCTCCCATTTGGGGCTTAGGAAGAAGTAGAGCTAGTGGGCACCCAGATGCTGGTTCTACTCACTTGTCTTAGACCCATAGCTACATGAACTTTCCATGCAGCCAGTCAGTAAGCATTTGCAAGGTAGCAGCTGTCTCCTAGCACTATACTATACTAGTACTTGTAATTTATTTCTTGCCTAGGCACCGGCTTGGGTAAAGAAAGTTGGAAACATGCTCCCAATGCAGTATTAAGTTCTGTGCACCGATTTAGGAGGGTGTAATCCATTCCTGTATGTTCACTGCTAAGGGATATGTTTGCTTTTGCTGTGTAAGGGACAGTCTGTTTCAAGACACCTGATCTTAGGACGCAAGAGTGCTTGGGTGGAGGGGTAGAGCACCAGAGAACGTCCCATGGAGTGATCAAAGGTCGTTGGATCTGATGGTTGTCTCCTTTCCCCTTTCCCGTTACAGCATTCCTCCTCCTCCTCCTCCTCTTCCAGCAGTGACTCTGACTGAATACAGGGCCTGGACCCTTCCCTCAAGCCTCTCCAGTTCTGCTCTCCCATCAAGCTTCAGATGCCATCTTGTACTGGGGAAAATTAGCCCTTGTGCCCCTTCTTCCTCATCCCCCAATCTGAGCCTTACTCTGCTGTTCAGCCCTAACTAGCGAGGGAAAATGGGAAAAGAATTACTATGGACCAGCAAAGACCATCTTCTCACTACTTGGATAGAACTTTTAGCTGACGAGTTTAGCAGGAGAACTGTTTTTTGAGGATGGTGAGACCTTGGAGCTAAATGCTGAAGATGAGTTTAAGATCTGTAAAATGTGATTTTTTTTAAAACTTTATTTTGTAATACTTGCAGTTGGGAGGTGTTGTGGAAATTTAATTATGGAAAAAAAGAAACTGTGCCATTTTTGTAATGTGTCTGGCACACTTTGATGATGTAATGGCACATAGATTTCCCAGCAGCCTTTATTGGTGGTATGAACTGTAAGGCTGCCAGGAGGTGGAGTCCATTTGGTAGATAAGCTCTGCTTGCCATTGGAATCTCACTCCTTAGCTTAGTAGGCTGGCTTAGGTCCTTCTCATTCTCCACCTCTCAGTCCAAATAAAGCTTTTTTTTTCCTGGTCTCTGTTCACCCGTGCCATTACCTTGGTTGGGCCCAGCACAGTGTACTACTTTTGCTGCCCTCCAAAGTGTATCCGTTTTATAGTAAACCAGAGTGTCAGTGAGGAAGACACCATATGTCCCTATGTTTCTTAAGTGGGAGGAACCTTCAGAATTTGTTCAGACTACTGGAATGGATCTTTACTGTGATCCGGTCAATGAGGGTACAGGTCTTTAACTTAAGTTTTCGTATCTACTACTGAGGTTCTTAACCCTGGCTGCCCATTAGCTATCAGAGTAGTAATTTAGAATATAATCAGAGTAATAATTTAGACTGTAATCAGTAATAATTCATAGTAATTTTTTAAATTCAAATTATTTAACATACTGTGTGTTATTAGTTTCAGGATAAGAATAATTTAAAATTTTTAAAAGATTTTATTTATTTGATAGATAGAGAGCACAAGTAGGCAGAGTGGCAGGCAGAAGGAGAGGGATAAGCAGGCTCTCTGCTGAGCAGGGAGCCCGACGGAGGGCTCGATCCCAGAACCCTGGGATCATGACCTAAGCCAAAGACAGATGCTTAACCAACTGAGCCACCCAGGTGCCCCTCAGGGTGAGAATAATTTAGAGTTTTGCCTTAAATCTATTGAATGAGGGGGTGCCTGGGAGGCTCAGTCAGTTTAGCATCCAAGTCTTGATTTGGTTCAGATCCTGATCTCATGGCTCATGAGACTGAGTCCCTTGATCAGCGATAGTTTGCTTGGATATTCTTTCCCTCTGCCTCCTTCCTCTGCTATTTCTCTTGCTCTCTGTCTCTCAAATAGATAAATAAATCTTTTTAAAAAAATGTTTAAAAATTATTGAATGAGACTCTTAAGGATGGGGCTCTACAAATCAGTTTTTGTTTTTGTTTTTTTTTAAAGTGGGCTCTATGCCCAGTGTGGAGCCCAATGTGGGACTTGAACTTGCCACCCTGAGATCAACACCTGAGCTGAGATCAAGAGTTGGATGCTTAACTATCTGAGTCACTTAGGCGCCCCCACAAATTAGTATTTTTAAGAAAACTGGTGGGTCAGGACACCTGGGTGGCTCAGTGGGTTAAGCCTCTGCCTTTGGCTTGGGTCATGGTCTCAGGGTCCTGGGATCAAGCCCCACATTGGGCTCTGCTCAGCAGGGAGCCTGCTTCCCCCTCCCCCTCTGCCTGCCTCTCTGCCTACTTGTGATCTGTCTCTCTGTGTCAAATAAATAAATAAAATCTTAAAAAAAAAAAAAAAGAAAACAGGTGGGTGACTATGATAACACAGCTAGAATTGATGGCCCCTGATTCACTCTAGGCCATGCACGGTGTCGCACATCAGGTTCTCAGCGATCTGCTGAGGAGAGGAAAAAGATATTCAAGAAAACTAGTTAATAAAGATAGAGGCTGTAAAATGCCAGAGGGATAGAAATCTAGAACTAAGTGGGCAGGGTAGGAGGGGTCAAAGATGACTTCACAGGAAAAGTGACATCTCAACTACCTCTTGGCCCTGGAGCATGAAAAGTATAAGGAGAACAAAAAAAAAAAGAAAAAAAAAAAAAAAAGAATGGATTTACCAAGTAGAAAGGGGAGAGGAGCCAGGAGAGGCATGTATGCTTGGTTACAGGGTCATAAAGTTCGATTGCGTGTTTGGGAATCACGGGCCTCCCAGTGGGGCTGGATTGGTTTTCTAGGAAATTGTTTATTGAGGAAATCCTGTATTCTGGGTGCTGAGCCTACAAAGATGAGTAAGACCATCCCCACTGTTCGTGACCCGTGAGATCTAGTGAAGCAGACAGACACATAAACAGATTATTATGAATCTGTAAAAAGGACCACAATAAAGACATGGATCCAGCAGTGGGGGAACCAAGGAAGGGATGATGGTGCCACTGGGAAAATGAGCTAGGTCTGGGCTGTGCCTCAGGATACGCAGGAGTTGCCCAGTTGGTAAATAATTTCAGCCAACATTGACCATTTATTTTGTGCTGGGCTCAGGGTGCTTTACATTTACAGCTTCTATAATCTTCAGAGCAACCCTATAAGGTAGGTACTATCATTCCAATTGTAGAGGTAAGGGAAACTGAAGCAGGAAGTGGTTCAGTAAGGATTCAGACTCAGGCTGTCTGGCTCCTGATTCTGTGCTCTTAACCCAATGGACCGCCGGCAGAAACAGTGGTTTTGCTGAGGCAAAGAGTTGGGAAAAGGGGTAGGATGAAACTTGGAGTTTTTGAACCCGAGTTACCGTGCAGGAGCCTGAAAGCAGAAAATGAGGCTGAAGTCGGGGAGATGGGCTAGAGGAAGGAATGGGTTTGAGAGATATTTCTGAGGTGAAACCCACGGGGGTTTGGGGTGTAAAGAACAAGGAAGGAGTGTTTTTCGTTGGCTATATTGCGTCTATGACCTTCCCCTGAGGTGAGTTATACCAAATAAATGCTTGAGGTCTTCTTAGATTTTATTAGTTCATTTATTTATTTATCCAAGATTTTATTTAGTTACCTGACAGAGACACAGCGAGACAGGGAACACAAGCAGGGCGAGTGGGAGAGGGAGGAGGATGCTCCCCACGGAGCAGGGAGTCCGATGCAGGGTTCAGTCCTGGGACCCTGGGATCATGACCTGAGCTTAAGGCAGATGCTTAATGACTGAGCCACCCACATATCCCTGTTTATTTTTTAAAAAAGATTATTTATTGATTTTTTTTTTTAATGGGGGAAGGACTCCCCTGTTTTCCCTGTGCTCTGAATATGTTTTTATATTTTTTAAAGATTTTATTTATTTATTTATTTGACAGATCATAAGTAGGCAGGCAGAGAAAGAGGGGGAAGCAGGCTCCCCATTGAGTAGAGAGTCCAATGCGGGGCTTGATCCCAGGGCCCAGGACCTGAGCTGAAGGCAGAGGCTTAGCCCACTGAGCCACCCAGGTGCCCCTTTCATTGGTTTATTTGACAGAGAGTGAGCAAGAGAGAGCACCAGCAGGGGAGAGGGGCAGAGGGAGAGGGAGAAGCAGGCTCCCCCGGCTGAGCAGGGAGTCTGACAATGGGCTGGATCCCAAGACCCTGGGATCATGACCCCAGCCAAAGGCACAGGCTTAACCCACTGAGCCACCCAGGCGCCCAACTTTTTAAGAGCTAAAAGTAATACATTTACTTTGGGAGAAGATTGTAACTTTTTAAAGTTTTATTTAAGTAATGTCTACACCCAATGTAGGGCTTGAATTTACAACCCTAAGATGAAGAGTCCTGTGCTCTTCTGACTGAGCCAGCCAGGCATCCTGTAATATTTAAAAAAAAATTGTTTAAAGGGGTATCTGAGGGGCACCTGGGTGCCTCAGTCGGTTAAGCGTCTGCCTTCGGCTCGGGTCATGGTCCTTGGGTCCTGGTATCGAGTCCTGCATTGGGCTCCCTGCCCAGCAGAGTCTGCTTCTCCCTCTTCCTCTGCCTGCTGCTCCCCTTGCTCATTCTCAATCTTTCTCTCCATCAAATAAGTAAATGGAAACTTAGGGGAAAAAAAGATAAAATCTATTTTTAAAAATTAAAAAAAAAAATAAAGGGGTGCCTGGGGGCGCCTGGGTGGCTCAGTCAGTTAATCGTCTGCCTTCGGCTCAGGTCATGATCTCGGGGTCCTGGAATCAAGCCCTGCCTCCAGCTCCCTACTCAGCCGGAAGCCTGTTTCTCCCTCTCCCACTCCCCCTGCTTGTGTTCCCTCTCTCCCTGTGTCTCTGTCAAATAAATAAATAAAATCTTTAAAAAAAATAAAAATTTTAAAAAAGGGGTGCCTGGCTGCCGCAGTTGGTAGAATGTGCAACTCTTGATCTCAGTTGTGAGTTAAGCCCCACATTGGGTGTAGAGATTACTTAATAAATGAATTAAAAATCTTCTAAAAAATTTAATTTTTTAAAGTGAGCTTTATGGCCAGTGTGGGCTGAACTCACAGCCCAGAGATGAAGAGTTGCATGCTCCACCAACAGAGCTGGCCAGGTGCCCCAGATTGCAACTTTTTTTTTTTTTTTTTTAAGATTTTGTTTATTTGGCAGACAGAGATCACAAGTAGGCAGAGAGGCTGGCAGAGAGAGGAGGAAGCAGACTCCCCGTGGAGCAGAGAGCCCAATGTGGGGCTCGATCCCAGGACCCTGGGATCATGACCTGAGCTGAAGGCAGAAGCTATAACCCACTGAGCCACCCAGGCGCCCCCAGATTGCAACATTTTTTAAATAAAGATTTATTTGTTTATTGTAGAGAGGGGGGAGGGGCAGAGGGACAGACTCTTTAAAGCAGACTCCCCACTGAGCATGGAGCCTGACACAGGACCATCACCTCCTCAACTGAAATCACAAGTAGGACACTTAACCAACTGAGCCACTCAGGCGCTCCAGATTGTAACATTTTTAATAGGTTATTCAGTAAAAAGATTCTCCTCTCTTCTCAGATTCCCAACTTCTCCCCAAAGCAAAAAACGATTACCAGACATTTTTGTAAACTTCCAGAGCTATTCTTTGTGTAGTCAAGCCCCCAGCTCTTATTTCTATATTACATTGTTCCTTTTGTCCTCATTCCCCGCTTTATATGGGAGCATAGTGTAGGCCCTCTTTTGGACCTAACATTACTTCATTTAACCATCTATTTTGAAGTTGATTCCATTTGTGCGTGTGTTTATATAACATTGTTTTAACATCATTCAACTTATTCAGTCTTTTATTGTTGGAATTTTAGATTGTTTCCAGTCTTACTATATACTTAACTACTGCAGTGAACATTTTGGACATATATCTTTAAAAAAAATTTTTATTTGTCAGAGAGAGACAGTGAGAGAGGGAACACAAGCAGAGGGAGTGGGAGAGGGAAAAGCAGGCTTCCTGTGGAGCAGGGATCCCGGTGTGGGGCTGAATCCCAGGACTCTGGGATCACGACCTGAGCCAAAGGCAGATGCTTAATGACTGAGCCAACCAGGCACCCCTTTTTTGGACATTTATCTTAACTAGAGGTTGAAAATCGGATCCCCAT